TAAAAATGCTATTTCTACATGATGTCATGAGCCTAAGGAACATTTTGGAGGGCCCCATTGTATATGTCCACCGCATTTGTTTAGAACCCCCAACATTATTCTCCTAAAGAATCAACTCACATTTAAAGAACCGCAGTAACAGGATTCCATGTAGCACCTTGGAGGCCTCGAGGTAGGCTGTCATTCCTGTTGGTATGCATCCCCCACCTTCCTGTGCCCACGGCTACACTACAATTTTCAAGTGGCTACTTTTACATATATAGTTTTTCTTATTTAGGGGTTGCTGAAGGTAGAGAGCAGTTGACAATCTCACCTTGGAAAACAATTCTTTCTACCTCTCCTACAACCTATCCTCATATATTCTTAGGTTCCAAATTTCTTAGATGAACTTGTAATGTTAATAACTGAAAATGGATGCCTGCTATAGGTGAATAGCCTACTGGCTAATACTGAGTAGGTTTCAGATTCTTACTCATAGCTGCCCATACAGCTGTCCCGCTACTTACCAATGCAAAAAAATGATTTACTGGAGTTAATGATCCATTGGGAAGGCAAACGTAAACTCACATAACGAAGCATCCAGTACTCTTCCCTGTGCATGTAAAACAGCATTTTAATGATCTAAACGAGTTTGAAGATTTAAACTCTGAAAACCCCTCGCAAATTGTTGTCTGAATTTAAAGCAATATTCCATATGGGATCCAAAATCTTAGCGGCTTGTTTTATTTGGCTGCTTCCTACATGTAAAAAAATGTTTCTTCAAAAGTACACATGCTATAAGAACTCTAATGTGAATAACAGAAGAAACATAGAAGAAATACGTAAAGGCATGATATTCTGATAATAAGAAATCATTGGTTGCAGGAATTTGGAGAGTAGATTATGTAGAAACCAAAAGAGATTCTGTTTGAGATTCTGTTTATATTCCATAAACAAGATACTAAGCAGATTATCTTTATGAGGAAAAAAATGTATTGAAAATAAGGAGATCAGTATGTCTAAAACAGACAAATTAAGGCATGCTCTGACATTTTAAAGTGATTTCAGATAAAATAGAATGCTTTATTTACTACATTTGAATAGATGGAACTGATCATAAACAACAAAGAATTATAGACCCTTCCCAATAGGCAATTCTCAACCAACACAGGAATTCCCTGACAACACCACTGACCTATTTCCAGCTGTAACCTTTTTGGGAACAAGAAATCTGTTTCGATGTATTATACCAAATTTGTCTTCCCTTTGACTTTCTACCTGTGTTAAAGATGTAATGGAGTATAAGTCTTCACTTTTTGCCACACAGCAGCTCTTTAAAATAACTATTATCATCTAGCAACAAGTCTTTCAAGTTTAGACTGTCCCTCAATTCCTTCAACCATTCCTCCAATGAAAATGACTTCAGAACCTTTTAACATCTTAACAACTCTTTACAAATTTCACTGTTCTCTAGAGTAGAATTTAGAACTGGAAACAAAGAATCCATATGGAATCTAACCAGTAAACAGTAGTTAGGTACTATTAAATTGATCTGGAATCCTACAGGTATGAGTTTATCCAGATTATACATTTTCTTTACTTCAGTACCTGAGGCATGCCATTGCTGTTTTGTAAGTTTATTTCCTAAAAAAAAATTCAGATCACTTTTACCTGATGATTTGTCAATTTTAAAAAATTTAAAAAAATTTTTTAGCTTATTTTTACCTATGAATGCTTTCTTAGTGGTTTAGAATTTTTGATCCCTTTCTTTCTGATAGTGGTAGACATGCATTATTTTGTATCTACAGATGTTCACATACTGTCGTCCATATTTCTATTATTTAAGGCAACTAGACTTCATTCCTTTGCCTACTGATATGATTTCAATGTTTTTGCCTCCTCCAAAATTCCTGTGCTGGAAACTCCATCACCAGTGCAACCGTGTTAGAAGATGGGGCCTAATGGAAGATGTTGAGATCATGATGAGGTCAAAGTCCTCATGAATGGATTAATGCTGCTATCACAAGAACCAGTAGAAATGGAGTCACACTCTTTTTGTTCTTCTGCCATATGAGAACACATTTTTTTCTACCCAGAGGATACAACAAGGAACCAGAGTTAAAGTTGCCCATTCCTGAATCTTCGACTTCCTATTCTCCAGAGTTTGGAGAGAATACATTTCTGTTTTTATAAATTTCCAAGTCTATGGTACTCTGCTATACCAGCACAACACACATCCTCCAATCTTATCTCCAGCTGAGGCAATAAGTTAATTGAGTCAGGAGATGGACACCTAATTCAATCAAAGTCCTTCCATTTTTAAAATTTGAAGCAGACAAAGAGATTGCATTCTTCTCCAGGGATGAAATGATGGGCTGTGAGATGCAGGAAATCTCAGAGTTAGCCTGGGAAAATAAAATCCAGGCAAGTTAGCCTGGAAAAGCAAAATGAAGATGCAAGGTAAAGTGAGGCCCACTCTTGTTTTCAAAATCCTAGTTCCAATTATTCCTGAAGCTTAGCTGTACCCTTAGGTTCTCCACAAGACCTAATAAACTTACTTAAAGCAAAAAATAAAACTGCTGTTCCAGCAAAACAAGTCCTCCTAACTCACATATAGATTTTATAGTCTAAGGTTTTTACTTATTTCTCATGCTCAACTTTATGACCTATAATTACCTTTCTATTGTTCCTATAATAAATTACTATAAACTTTGTGGCTTAAATAATATAAATTTATTATTTTATTGTCCTATAGGTCAGAAGTCTGACACAGTAGTTCTCACTAGCTAACTCAAGGTGTTGTCAGGTGAGTTCCTTTCCGGAGACTCTAGGGAAAAAGCTATGGCTCAAGGAGTAGGGCGCTGGCCCCGTATACTGGGGGTGGGTGGGTTCAAGCCTGGCCCTGGCCAAAACTGCAAAAAAAAAAAAAAAAAAAAAAACTGTCTCCTTGTCTTTTCTAGCTTGTGGAGGACCTGGATTCTTTGGTTCACAACTCCCTTCCTCCATATCAAAGGCAACTGTGTTGTGTCTCTGATCATTCCTGCCTAATCACTTCTTCCTCTGACCCTCACCCCAATGGGGGAACTTCTTTCAAGGGCTCTCATGATTCAACTGGACCTACTTGGGTCATTCATGATAATCTTCTCATTCTGCGGTCCTTATGTTATTGCACAAAGGGTCTGGCTGCCTGTCCCTGTCCAGCCAATAGGCTGACATAGGTGATAGGTCCACCAAGCTTTATTACGAGAAGGCCAGTAATTCTGATGAACAGTCAGAGTAGCTTAAAGACTGTTCTATCCTTTGAAGTTCCAAGAAGTTAAGTTTACAAATTCTAAGAGCTGAGTCACCATGGAGAGGACCCTGCAGGTGTATCTTTGTGGTCTCCTTGAGAAGACCTATTCTCGTAGACCTCACCCTTTTCAGGTATCCTCTCTCACAGTAATGAACAATATTCAGCATAACCCATGCCGCATAATAAACAATAATCAGCATAATCCATGACCTATTATAACGTTTCCAATTCAAAGTTAATCTCTCAAATCAATCTCCCTAAACTACTAAAGATACACATTTTTAGCTTGAAGCTAAATTTACAAAACAGGAATGGAAGACATGAGATGAAGGTCATGTGGGACGTAAACCAACCAGACCAGCTGTGTCTTGTTGGCCCTGGCCTGACGCCTTCTTCTTCTCACATGTGCTATCACTTAATTTTAAATGTATGTGCAAAGTCTCTTCTGCCATGCAATGTAACACATTCACAGGTTCTGCGAATTTAGGCATTGATATCTTTGGGCATGGTGAAGGATTATTCTGCCTACCACTAAAAACAAGGAAGGCATTCCATTTTCATATTATTCATCTCAGTGATATAAATAGGCTAAACAAGATGTCATAGACACTCCTCACATTAATAACAACCTGCTCAGCGACATTATTTGGAAACTGTTGTATTATTTGAAATGGCTCCTTCAAAATCGTTTTCTGAGAAGGGACTTTCTGCTGATTTTCTCTTTTTCTAAAAATGAGTTTGGAGCTCCTTACTGGATTTCCCCAGCAGTACAATCAGAATACCATCTCTGATATGTAAAACCAAAAGTATTTCCATATCCATGTACTGGAAGCCCCAGGCTTTGCTATCATTTCTGAGCATAGAGAGTGAAGATGGCGTCTCTTTGTTTTACTAATTGCTTTGTTTCCCTAAGCTGCTAGCACAACATCTGCCAGGCCAAATGCCCTCCCTCCACATGCCATAGAACCATGCAGGATAAATGCCCTGCACATCATGGTGTAAGGGAGAGCACTTTGCAGGCGATTTTCAAGAGGCAAAGACCTCAAGTAGAAATGAAGCTGAACCACTCCTGCTCCACAATCTTTAGACTGGTTATGGAGTTGTTGATTCTGTAACGACCTCATACTGTCTGCAATTTTATTGATTTTGTTTTGCAATAGAACTGTTAAAGATTACAATTTTAAGATCAGCAAAATGTAGACAGATGCTCACATTCTCACGCACAGTTCTGCCAAGATATTTTTACATCTTTCCACACATAAAACAAAATGAAGACGTGTGTTATAGCTGCCTGTTACCAGTAAACCCCCCCCCAAATGAAGGGAGTTTATTGTATGCTCATTTCCTGGATGAAGTATTAAAATAATTCTACCTAGAAAACATGAACAGCACTTCCAAAATCAAAGAGATTTGCTCCTGAAGCACCTGATAAAACATTTTTAATTACCATAACCCCTTGAAAAGGCGATTTGGGTCATCCTATCCAAATGTCACCCCTGCTATTTCCAATTCAATATCAACTTCATGACACATCTATTGGGTAAGCATCAAAATGCAAAATGCTGCAACACTTATGCTCTGTTGATGTTCACTCATCCACTGTGTAGCAGAAAGGCTCATTTCAAATATGGCATGAAAGAAAGAAAAGTAAGAAAAAAAAGATAAAAAACTTCAGAAAGGACTTGAAAAACATCTCCTCTAAAAGAAAACGGCAAACTCACAGCCTTACCTTGGGAGATTTAGGCAGAGCTGCTGTCCTTTCTTTTGCTGAGGTTTTCAGGGTTAACTTTTTGTCCTCCGCTGCGGGATGTTTGGGAGGTCGAGGCGGGGGATGTAAGTCAGAGCTTTCGTATCTCCGCATCATGTAATACTGTTCTTCCGTGATCTCTTCCACCAGGGTTCTCACTAGACATGATCCTGTATCCCCAGACATGTGGCTAACTAACTGAACGGTCAGATTCAGGCGACCAACAGGGATTTCCCAGCACTCCCTAGGGTTGGCAAAGTCACTCACAAGCAGGTAAGAGTCTGTGATGTCCTCCTCCAACTGCAGTCCCGGCGTAGCAGCCAAAATGTCCTCTTGGATGGAAAGATCTCTCACAGACACCTTGACGTTGAACGGCAAGCGAAACTGTTTACAGAGCTCAGAGATCTGGTACTGTCTCTTATCATGAATCACCTCCACAAAACCTCCTTCCATGTACAAAGGGAGCAGGGCTGGCTCATAGGATTTTTTGAGGATTTTTTCACAGGCCAGAACATTCACCAGTTTTTTTATTCCCTCACATAGGACTTCAGTGGTCTCTGAGTGATGCACTAGAAACTGGTCCCCGACAGACACAGATGACAGCTCACCAGGAGGGGGACGAAAGGCTTTGGTGGCTACCACATGAAGCGGCTCCTTTTCACTCTTAGCTATCTCTAGGTCATAGGCTGTTGGGAACTCTCGAGGTCGCCGCTTGAATTTGCCTTTGTAGCTAGTGGGGATCAAGAAGTGTCTTTTAGGAAAATGGCTTCTAATTTCCGAGGCTAAGATCCTCGATGCCTGGAACTTTTTATGAACCACGATGGTTTTCCCAGGCTGCAAAATGCTTGTGAGCAGCTGGTTTCCTTGAGGAGCTTCTATGACTTCAGCCACTATGGGGAACTCTTTACTGTTCATTTCTAAAAGATCTTCTGCAGATAACAGCTGAAGAAACCAGTTAGCGTCATAGGAGTCGGTAATGTCTTTGACTTCAACATCTAAACTGGGGAGAATGCGAACGATATCCTTTCGAACTAGAAAGAAAGGGACAAAAAGGAGACTATGATATTTTGTGAATCAAAGTGTTTGCTGTGAGATTGTCTGGTACCATAGTTATAACATAACATTTCTCTTATGGGAGCCATTCCTTTTTGTCAAATTTGAATATCAAAGAGATTGTATATAAAACCAACATCCAGGAGCCCATACACAGTTTAAGAAATAGGCAGGATCTTGGGGCATTGTGACATTCACTAAAATTATTGACTCTTCACTGCTATTATATTGAAGGTAACCCCTCTTCTGATTCCAGCTCTAATCACTGCTGTGTTATGTTTATAGTTTTATCATATATAACATACCTGAATATAGATACATGTGAAGCAGCCAACAAGATTTCCTAGCACTCTCTGGGATAAGGCAAAATAAGTTATGAGTAGGTAAGAGTCTGTGATAACTTCCTCCAACAGCATCCTGGGCACAGCCTATATAGATGTATGTGTGCAAAGTTTTATACTATTAGATCATCTTAAGCCATGTTATTGAGGTCCAGACTTTATATATAAAATGATCATAAAAGAAAGTTCTCGTACTTTACCAAAGACCTTTCATGTACAAGGTTAACACAGGGCATACATTCTTTGTCCAAAATCCTATCATCTGAGATAAAACAATATTGCAAAATCATGAGATGTAAGGGATTTAAGACTACTAGATGGAAATGAATGCCAAGATGCATCGTCAAAGTTATTTCTTTATTCACTGGTGCTATATTATACCCAGATAGGGAAGGAGTGGTGAAGGTTGGATTCCAATCAGAGGAGCCACTTGGGAGCCCCGGGTAAACTGTGGGTGCTCACAAATGTATTCTTCACCTCATGTATCACCAGGAGTCTTTCTTTAGGACCACAGAGATCCTTAAAATATTGTCCTGAAATCATTGTCTATTCTCCAAGTACTATCCCACATAGTATCATTATAAATGGTCTTGAATTAAAAATAAAGTTATACATTAATACTAATAGGATTTTATAATAGTTTATACTTCCTTGATAATTTTCTAATACAAGTTTTATAGCACTTTCATAACCCAGCATTGTTTCTCAATATCTCCAGCCATCCTTTTATCAATATTCTTCCCTCCTTCTATGCTTTTGAAAATGAAAAATTTGGAAGACTAGGAAAACAGAATTTCCTTTTAGGAAACATTTTGTTATTACTTTTTTTTTCTTCCCCAGACAGAGTCTCACTACATTGCCCTCAGTAGAGTGCTGTGACATCACAGCCCACAGCAACTTCCAACTCTTGGGCTTAAGTGATTCTCTTGCTTCAGCCTCCCAAGTAGCTGGGACTATAGGCACCTGCCACAATACCTGGCTATTTTTTGGTTGTAGTTGTCATTGTTGACTTTAGCTGGCCCTGGCTGGGTTCGAACCTACTAGCCTGGGTGTATGTGGCCAGCGTCCTATCCACTGAGCTATGGGTGCCACCCCATTGTGTTATTACTTTTGATATTCTTAACTGTTTATGTAGCATCTGAAATCCCTAATGCTATAATTTGTGTCATATTACTTATACATTCCATATAATTATAGGATTTATGAAGAACATAGCATTAAAAGGTATTATTTTATTTTCTTTAAAAGAAAAATTTAAAAATCAATGACTTAAGGTCTGTAGGCTTAAGGTCTGTAAAAACTGTAAAAATGTTTTCATTTATAGGAAAAAAGGGGGGCTGAAAAAGATATTTTTTGCTTTAATCAACTCATAATGTTTAGCATACCCTAACTTTTGACATTGTCACCACAGGTTACTCTGAATGCCAAGGTAATTTTAGAAACAAAAATATTGGTTATTTAAATCAAAATGAACTAGGTTTAAGAATTCTACCTACAGCTAGTTTTAGAATGGCATCATAGCTTTCCTCAAGTTTAGGGAACAGATAGAAAAAGGTAGAATAGCTGCTATCAAGGACTTCATGGGAGCTTTGAATTGATCCATCAGAAAATCAGGGCCCCAGTGCAAGCAAGCTAGGTTCCAATTTACATTTGTTCCTGGTGAATGTTATGGGCTAAGAATAGCCTTACTATCTTTGGAGGACTTTAATCTTATGAGAGAAGGTTTCTGAGCCAGTCTATCTCACCTCTGTTCAGTTCTCTGTATCCAGTTATAACCTATCTTCAATAATTCTGTATCTAAAGACATGTAAGAGATGATTTAAAATTAACATGCCAGTCTGAAATCTGATCTTCCTCCCCCAAACTGGGGGCTATATGTTGCTTTTCCCAGCTTAATTATTCAGACCTCCTTTCTCTTTGTTTAGTGCATAAATCTCCGAGACATACTTACCTTTTTTCCCCCCTAACACCTGAAATTCCTTGCATCAAGGCTGCTCTGGTCTAAGTCACATTATTTCTTAACCTGTTTTACTATAATAGTTTTTTAAACAGTCTCAAATCCCAATAGGGTAGTCCAAGATTCTTTTTAGGTTCTAAATGAAGTATGTCTATATTCTGTTCATAGGCCCAAAGTATAGTCCTTTTCATTCAGGATAAAAGCCAAAGTCCTTTCTGGTCCCTGGTACTCCATGAATCTCATCTGCAGCTTCATTGCCACATTCTAACTCAGTGCTGTCTCTGCAACTTCCTCAATGCCAATCAGATCTTTGCATAGCCTGTTTCCTCTGCTTGTTACAGCCTCAGCCAGATAAGTTTATGGCTAATTCTTCCTCTTCACATATTCTTAAATATTTATGGTCTGCAAGACCATCCCTAAGTACTATATTTAAAATTGCAACCACCCTTGCCCTTTGTTCTATTTTCCATGTCACCTTTAATTTTCAATTACTTCATACAATTGTCTTATTTATTATGATAATTGTCTATTGTTTATTTCCTCAAATTAAGACATATATTCTCCTGGGTTAGGGATCTTTGCTTGTTTTGTTCATACATATATCCCAATGTTTAGAATGGTGGCTGGCATATAGTAGGCACTCAATAAAAGCATAAAAATTTCCATTTTATATCATAGCACATATTATATATTTCATTTAAAACATATCTTTCAGGGTTGCGATTTGTTTTAGTCAATGGTTTATTCAATACAATAAATACTTGTGTTATTTAATTTCTACAAAATATTAGTGATATTAAGATAGAAAAAAATGGGTAAAGTGAAGTCTTTTTTATCCATGATTTTGTTCTTTAGTAAAAGAGATTAGCAAAACACTATGTATATACCTAAAGAGAAGATTCAATACAGAGAAATAGTACATGACGTGAAAATTAACAGTCTTCTTAGATTCATTAGAGAATTGAGGTCATAGGGGTAAGCCATCACTCCAAAAACTAGACAGATGATAAATACAGAGTCAAAAACTTACTAGGGGTAAAAATCACTGCTGGAGATGAAGCACAGTCTAGCTTGGGAGAGAAAGCTCCTGGGGGCCTCCTACTCCCTCCTGAGTTTTGTTTTCAGGAGCCTTATAAGGTTCTCAGGGTAAAGAAAAATCTTGTTTTCAGCAAGATTAATAGAAAAGTGACCATTCTGAAATGTATTCTGTTCTCCTTTAAAAATGTCTGCCCTTAAAGAAAACTATTTTTTTTTAATTTTTTTTGCAGTTTTTGGCCTGGGTCAGGTTTGAACCCACCACCTCCGGTATATGCGGCCAGTGCCTGACTCACTGAGCCTGTGGCTCAGCTATTTTATTGCAACCCAACTCCAACCACCTCTAACCTTCTACATGGGGAAAAATAAATACCTAATTCCAATCTCTTCTAGATTTCCACATAGGGGAAAGGGAATTCCCATCTCAAGCTCCTGCTAGCTATTCTGTTTCCCCACAAAGGGGAGAAAAAACTGAGAAGCACTTACGAAGGTCATAGCATGGAGACATATGCTTGCTAAAAGACTGAAACCTCATACAAATTTATAGAATGCTCCCCCATACACACCTTACAACCACATCAACGGTGCTCCTATATATTAGGGGATTACCACAGAAAGAATGGCATTTAAGAGTCCACGTAAAAAACGAATCTCTAGCCAAAGTCAACAGGGGGGACAAAATAATGATAATGCATAAAATTTTAGCCTCTGACACCTACAGTTACAGCAAACAATAAGCACAACCTAACTCCTACCCAGATAAACCAAAAACTTTACACTGAAAGGACTATTTACCTCTGTTTCTTTAGCTCAAACATCATGACTGGCTTTCTACGAAAATTACATGTCAAAAGGCAAAAAAGCACAGTCTGAAGAGACAAAGCAAGCATCAAAAGTAGAGTTAGATATAGCAGATATTTTGGAATTATGAAAACAGAATTTAAAATGATTCACATGGGAAGGGTTATAATAGAAAAAGGGATGACACTTAAGAAAAGATGAGTAATGTAAACAGAAACATGAAAACTCTAGGGAAAAATCAAAAGGCAATGGTAGAAATTAAAAAGGCAGAAACAGATATAAAAAGTGATTTTATTGGGGTCTATAAGATACTGAACACTGTGGAAGAATCAATGAGCTTAAAAAACTTCCCAAACCAACAATAGTTGTTTGCTATTACAACTTATTTTGTAATAGCAAAAGAAAAAGAATGAAAAAAAAATGGGACTGATATCCAAGAATAGTGGGATGATTACAAAAGAAGTAACATAACTGCCCTGGGAATACCAGAAGGAGAAGAGAGAGGGAATGGGACAAAATAAATATTTAAGTAGTAAGACTGAGAATTTTCAAAAACTAATGAAACTCATAGAATACTAAGCATGATAAATACCAAAAAATCTGTATCTAAGTATCATATTCAAACTGTATCAAAGCAAAGACAAATGAAGAGAAAACTTGAACTTGGGTGGGAAGAGGGAGGAGAAAACAACACCTTACTACAGGGAAAAAGGGATGAGAGTTACATTGGACTTTTCATCAAAATCCATGTAAAAAAGAGCACAGAGTGATATATTTAAAGTGTTGGAAGAAAAAACCACCAACCTTGAATGCTGTACCCAGTAGAATTATCCTTCAAAATAAA